TCTGTTTATTTTCCCAGTTACCACAATAGTCTAGGTCTTCAGCTGTGAGTCTTTTTACAATAAAGGTGAATTCATTTACTCGTTTATTTATTTACTCATTTTTATTTTCTGCTATGATCCAAAAATTACTTTACAATAACTGATCTCAGACTGTATTGCAACCTATACAAAGACTGGAAATATACAGATGAACAACACAATAATAGTCCTTGCCCTAAGGGACTTAGGAAAGTTCTCAAATTACTAAAATGTCTAACCAGCTGACATCTTTGTCTCTAATCTTTCCCCATTTTAATGTGTCTTAAACACAGTCCTAAATTATTTTATTATTATTATTACCTGCTTAACTCTAACAATGCCTATCATATAGCAGGTTATGTCACCAAAAACACCACAAAAACATCATCATGGGCAAAGTCTGAGAAAATGTAATATAAAACATCATCTTTTGAATAAAGAAAATGCGTATATTTTACATTACATGTATATATAATTTTATATTACACACATGATGGAATATTATTCAGCCATAAAAAGAATGAAATCTTGCCATTGCTACAATATGTATAGAACTTGAGGGCATTATGCTAAATGAAGTCAGTCAGACAGAAAAAAAAATACTGTATGATCTACTTATATATGAAATCTAAATAACAATAACAACAACAAAAAATAAAGAATAGAAATACTCCCACTGCCCCATGAGCTCATGCATTTAGAGAACAGATTGCTGGTAGCCTGAGGTGGGCAAAACGGATGATGGGGCTCAAAAAGTACAAATTTCCAGTCATATAATGCACAAGCCATGGGGATGTAATGTACAACATGGTGTACAAATTTCCAGTCATATAATGCACATGGTGTACAAATTTCCAGTCATATAATGCACAAGCCATGGGGATGTAATGTACAACATGGTGACTATAATTAATAACACTGTACTGCATATTTGAAAGTATCTAGGAGAGTAGATCTTGAAAAGTTCTTATCACACACACAAAAATTTTTTTGTAGCTGTGTAGTGATGATATTAACTAGACTTATTGTGGTGATCATTTTGCAATGTACATGAATATTAAATCATTATGCTGTACACCTGAAATTAATACAATTTTATGTCAACTATACCTCAATTAAAAAAGCCAAAAGAGGGGGGGAATCATTTTTGAGGACTAAGAATAAAAAAATTTCATACTGTTATAGAAACCTTGGATTCTATAGCTTTCAAATTTTACATAAAGAACAGAGAAGAAATTCCAGTAGGGATTCAGAAGGTAATCTAAATTAGAATAAAGTGCCAAAGAGATGATTTAAAGACAAATGCCAGAAAAATATTTTTGAAAAAGATCGAACTCGGTGTCCTGTTTTATTTGTTTTTGCCTTTTGAACAATGAAAACTTGCTATTGTGAATTATAATTTCATTTGTTATATGGGACTCAACACACTGAGGGAAAAAATTTGGAGTTTACTGAAACTGATATCAAAACTCTATGAAGCAAATGTGAACAAAATGACAAGCATGTGGTGATGGCATTCTAGTCTAGCAAGGCTGAGTTCACCATGAAGATTTTTGTTGGGTTTTGGATATACCATGTTATTTACAGATAATTACTGGTTTCTGAAACAATGATCAGTGATGTAGAAGAAGACCCTAACTGTGATTGATTACAGGTATGTTAAGCATTAGATTATCTGTTATACTTTACAGATTTAAATGTTAAGAATAAGTTTTCTGTTCCATATTAAGATTCATTGGTTGTCAAAAAGAAATATGCTGGCTGGATTTATAAAATAAAGGACAAAGTTGTTTTATTTTTAGAGCACTGAAAAAAAAGATCAACTGTATAAAATCTTAAAAATCATAATTTTTAAATTCAGGCACAAAAAGGCACGAGGTACTGATACTACAACAACTCAGATGAACCCTGAAACATTATGCCAAGTGAAAAGTCAGACACAAAAAGCCACATATTGTATAATTCCATGTCTATGAAATATCTAGAAGAGGCAAATCCAAAGAGAGAAAAGAAAGATTAGTGGTTGCCAGGGACTTAGAGGAGGGGAGTATGAACACTAACTGCTTAATGGTCTCCTTTAGGGGTGATGATAATGTTCTAGAACTCAACAGAGGTAGTGGTTACACAACACTGTGAATACACTAAAAATCACTAAGGGTAAATTTTATGTTACTTTTATCTAACAACAAAAATTATAACTTTTGATACAGCTCAGCATGTTTGGCAGACATATCTGATCTGGAATTTCAAATAACAAACATCAACATTCCTATTTACCAGGCATAAAAGTCTTCATTTTCTAGTGTTGAAGAAGTTAAATTCTCAGTTATTGAAAATGGTTTCAAGTTTAGGGGAACCTTGAATATTATCTAGTTTATTGAATGAATTAAGGTGATAATTTCCTACTATTGTGGTTGAAGATCTTACCTGAAGGCTCATGAGAACGTCTCATACATTTCAATCTTTGCAAGAAAATATCTAAAAGGAATCTTTGAACTAAAGTTTGATTTAGACGTCAAAGACATTCCAGAAAACCACTCTGGAGAATTTTTGGCAAAAAAAATCTACATTTACTCCAAATAAGTGAGCTGAGTTGTATGTCATCACACCATTTACATAAGCATACATTTATGAAGCTGTTTCTTTTCCCAATTTTTAGTTATGAAAATGAAGCAATGCTACAAACTTAATGACCTAGATGTTTTGATCTTTTATGTCCTCGACAGAAAAGCCTGTAGCAAATAATTCACTTTTATATCATGTGAGTCAACATTCACTTTTATATCATGTGATCCACAGGAAAATAAAGGTGTAATGTAAGATACACAAAATTAAGGAACTTGAGGTTCAAACTGAAATTTGGTTTGAATCTTACCGCTCAATTCTCTTCTCTTCTGAAACGGCAGCTGATAAAAAATATTCACACAAGGAACTAGTGGCCTGGAACTAACTAATTCCTTCTTTGAGGTGCGAATAAAGTGGTAAAGAGAATATGGGATACAAACAATGCTCATCAAGCATTCCATCTGCTCAGCTACACTTCTCAGCCTCTTCTGCAGTTAGCTTATGGCCATGAACTATGTTCAAGTGATATACTTCATTTCTCAGCTGACATAGTTGAGAATCAATGTATCAAGTACAGCATAAGAATATAGTCAATAACACTGTAATCACTATGTATAGTGCCAGCTGGGTACTAATCAGGGGACTCTCTTTGTAAATTACACAAATGTCTAACCACTGTGCTGTACACCTGAAACTAATTTAAAATGATATTGAATGTCGACTCGAATTGAAAAATAAAAATTAATATGTACATATAGCATCTTTGAAGTGACAGGTTTGACATATATACAGGAAAATGTACTTTTAATATTCCATTGAGTGCGATCATAGCTATTGTTTATCTGTAGATGTATGTAATATCTGTGAAATAACTTCCAGAAAACTTAAAAAAAAATCAATGTGTCTCCTCTCCTTTTACCCCATTCGTGGCACCTTTGAAGCTATGTGTTTCACTGATGAGGCTAAAATATAGAAGTTTCTGTCAATATGGGTTCCTGAAGACACTAATGATTTGTGTACATATAACTAAATGAAAATAATTTTTTGTGGTTAGGCCACTGCTATTTCAGGTTTACTTTGTTAAAGCAGCATAGCCTAGTTCATCCTGATTAATACAGAAAGTTAGACTTTTCCCTCTAGCACTTCTAAAAGAACAAGATTCCTTTT